GTCCAAGGCATGTGTTTTTAGAGCAACAAAAGGGGATTTATGTCCACCTACCTAACTGATCCCTCTTCCCAGCAATCTGCCCCCACAGCTCACCAAACAGCATTCCTGCAGCCTGTGTGCCACTAGCTGTGCACTGCAGGACAAGGGGAATGCACAGGCTCCAAGGGCAAAGGAAAAAGAGGGAAATCTGTGTCTGTGCTGATGAGAGAGCGCAGTTACAGGAAAGGAGGGGCAAAGCAGGCCTGGGGCATGACAATTCAGTAAATAAAAGGTGTTTCTCTGGCTGAGGAGAGGGCTGGCATTGTAAAGCACTGTCAGAGGAGCTCCACAGACACGTGGGATGGTTACTCACATCTTCCTCCGTGTCTTCACCTTGCATTGTTCCCACCACCCGTGTGCCGGCCCTTCCTGCAGGAGCAAAGACAATCACCATCAAACCTGGCTCGTGGTTACAGTGGGGCAGAAGGAAGGATAAAGCTCAGAGTTTACATTTTAAGGACAAGTCAAATGGCAGTGAGAGGATGAGATCCCACTGCAAATAAAGTCCCCCCCTTGTTAAGCCTTCAGAGCTCAGGAGATGGCAGAAGAGGATGTGTCTGGATTTCAGTCAGGATAATATTTGCAGAGCTACCTTAGAACAGTTCTGACAGGACAAGAGGCAAGAGACACATTAAGAAACAGGAAATTCTCTCTGAACAAAAGAAATCACTTTTTTTTTTTTTTATTATGAGGGTGGTCAAACACTGGAACAAAGTTGCCTAGAGAAGCTGTGGAGTTATTCATGGAGATATTCAGAACCCAACTGGATGTGGTCCTGGAAAATCAGCTCAAACCTCCCTTTTGAGCAGAGGGGTTGGACTCCACGAGCTTTGGAGCAAGGTCCCCTCCAACCCCATTGACAGCCGTGCTGTGACCATCCCATTTCACCATCTGTTTATCCCCTGCCATCCCCACCTCCCTCTGTGCCACGCAGGGATTGTTCCAATCTAGACAATCGAATCTTTACTGTTTTTAGCATGAAAACAAAGCAGCTTTAAAATATATCCTGGCAAACCTCTTTTGTACCTCCCAAAGCACAGATGATGGCAGGTCCCTTCTGTGCCACGCAGATTGATCTGAGTTAGTGGTAGGAAAAAGCTGCCTAACTCATCCACAACTCACCAAAACCCTTTGTTGCATCAAGGCAAATAATTTAAAGGATTTTACATCTTTAGATAAAAATTCCATCTTATAGCTCTTCTGTAAGACAGAAGATCTGTCTTCAACCTTTGGAGATTTTTCTCTGATTTATGCAAAACGAAATCCTATAAATTTGAAGCTGATTACAACTGACATCATTAGACAACAACAGAGCCCTATTTCTGCCCAGCCTACAGACGGCTCCAAGAGTCCCAAAACTACAATTTTGCTCTGTAGAAGGCTCAGCATGAAGTGTAAAATTGAGAATATTACCCCAAAAGGAGAAAGCTGCAGGGAGCTCCTAAAATAAGACAAAGCTGAGAGAGATCCTGAAGAGAAAAGAAAATCAAGGTATCACATAAGGAGAGTTGATGGAAGTGGGCAGTTCAAAATGCCACGGGAAGAGCTCAGGGATTTCTCACAGAAGGCCTGCAGGATGCTGCTCTTCCAGGACATCCCATGAGCACCTCACTCCTCACACCTGGAAGAACAGGAGAATCAGTTCAGAATCCCTGAACTAGGGACTGTGGGATCAGCAGGATTAGACCCTGGGACACTCCTAGGAGAGACTGCAGGATCTAGAGGGGCTGGGGCTTCTGAGCTGCAAAGAGGACAGAGAGCAGATTTCCCACGTTATTTTAACTTTTCCCATCATAAAGCCCCAAGTCCCTGCGTGTGGGAGCACGGACAGGTAGATGGCCACAGCGTGTTTCCGTGGGGATGGAGGAGAGGCAGGAAACAGAGGAGTCACGTGCGTGGGGCAGGGAGAGCAGGGGAAGTTGTCACTTGATTTCCTGGGCTCAGCTCACTGAGCCCTCAGGGCCGCCTCGCTGTGGCCACTGAGGCTGTCACAGCTTCCAAGCGGGTTGTGATTGCTTACAGATAACGGGAACCCAGCTGGGACAGGCTGTACAAAGTGATAATTAGGAAAAAACGCTCGTAATGACCAGGCTGTAATTCACTGCAGCTCTGGAGTCAAATCCAATCTCCAAGCATCACCACCCTTTTAGAGCCACCAAACATCAGAGAGCAGAATGTGCACCCGTGATTTGAAGCCTGGGAGCATTTGCCATTTCCCCTCTGTGTGATGTGTGCCATTGTACAAGCCCGTGCAGCTTCCGAGGATGGAGCCACAGGACTGGAATGATTTCCAGCTTCTCCCGGAGCAGCAGGTACACATTAACCCTGTGTCTGACAGCCAGAAGAGAAGCACAGCCTGTGAGGTCCACACAGCCCATGGGGAGGGGAGGGTGGATTTGCAGCTGAAACATTTTGCTTTCAGTCTGGAGATCTGCAATCTCCAGAGCTTAATGCAAATTCACAGCAGGAGCTCAGAGAAGACTCCTCCCTTCCCTCCCCAACACATCCCCTTCCACACAGAGAAAACTGGGATGAACCTCCTGCTTGAAGTTTCTGATCTGTGTGTGCTTTGGGCACTGTGTTCTCAATCACAGAATCATGGAATGAATGCCCTGAGCTCAAAGGGACCCACAAAGACCACTGAGTCCAACTCCTGGCCCTGCACAGACACCCCAACAATCCCACCCTGTCCCTCAGAGCGTTGTCCAAACCCTCCTGGAGCTCTGGCAGCCTTGGGGCTGTGCCCACTGCCCTGGGGAGCCTGTTCAGTGCCAACCACCCTCTGGGGGAAGAACCTTTCCCTGAGATCCACCCTGAGCCTGCCCTGACACAGCTCCAGCCATTCCCTGGGGGCTGTCCCTGCTCACAGCCCAGAGCTGTCCCTCCACTGCCCCTCGAGAGGATGCAGACCCAGTCAGAGGAAAACTGCCCCTGAGGATGTTCACAAGGAAGGAATTTATTTTTAAGCTCTAAAAGCAGTATCAGTTTGGTGGAGTCCTCTGAGGTGTTCTGAGCAGGTGCACTTGGGAATTTTTTCCCCTTGATTTCATATATTACCTTCAAACAGCTGGAGAACCTCAACCCTGCTAATGCACAGCCAGACCCATTCCCTGGGCCTCATCCTCCTCCCTCTGCCACCACCACGGAATGTGGGAAACCCAGACCCTTTCATCTCACTTCCACAGGCTTTGGATTATGGCAAACACGTGCCAGGAGATGCCTGCAAACCCCAGGGTTCCTCAGGAGCCATTAGGAAGAGAGCAGCTGGCCAGGGCAGAGGAGATGCTTTTGTTGCTCTGTACTTTTTGATAATTGCCAAGAAATCAGGGATTTTCAGAGAAGCTCTGGGGGTTACAAACAACATTCCCAAATCCCTGATGGACTGGAAAGGTAAAAATTCAGTGCCCAGCAGAGCCTGTGTCACAGCTGCTGTTCCTGACTCACCTCTGCCCACCTGATGCCACGCTGTGAGAATATCCAAATCTCATTTGGTCAAATCTAATTTAGACTCTGAAAAAGGACCTGGAAGCCCCACTGCAGACTCCTGATGCTTTTGAGACTCAGGCCTTGCCATGCTGGCACTGCTGGGACACCAGGAGGACACCTGAGTCTGTGGTAGAAGTTTTACATGTGCAGGACTCTCAGCAAATCCTCCCTGGGGGCACTTGAGCGTGGCACGACTCTGAAGAAGACATTTTCTGCTGCTCTTTTCCAAAAACACAAGCTCCAGGCACAGTGGGCAGAACCTGAGAGCTGTTTCTGAAGGGTCTGAACAGACTGTTGGGGGGAATGACTTGGGAAGGGAGATGACATCCTGCACTGAGCTGTGTGCTGGTAAGAGGCAGCTGTCCCTGGGGATGAGTCTGAGAGATAGGGATGGGATCACACAGCATCAGTGATGCCCACACAGCTGCACTGGGCTTCAGATTTTTTTTTTTTTTTTTATATAAAGACTCATTTTCACGACAGAGAAAAGTGCAACATTTTGAGAAAACCTGCAAATTCGTTACCATCTTGTATTTGTAAAGAAAAATGTATTTGCATCCGTCTCTTGGTCTTGGACTCAGAGATGTAACTTCCTTTAGGAACCAGAGGGAAGGGGAATATAGGCTAGTAATTTACCATGTGGTTTTTAAAATTAGGCAGGTGACAGCCACAGGAACTCAATGTGACCAAGACATCCAACAAGAAGCAGGCAGGTGTTGCACTTGAATCCCTCCCCTCTCCTGTGTATCAATCTCACAGTGAAAAAGGAAGGAAAACAGTCCAGAAATTCTGGGGCAGAAATCTGAACGTGGCCACGAGCTGGAGAAAGCATTTCCACAAGCAGAATCTGACACAATCCACTGAGAACAGCACTATCCTGCTTTTCAGCTTGCCTGCTGCGTGGAGGGGTTTGGAAACAGGACTGTGTAGGCTCACCTGAGAAGACTTCTGTGTCAAAGCTTCCATTTTCCCCAAAGGATTGAAAAACAAGAGGGGTAATTCAGCCTCTGCAGCCTTCCCCCAGGGTACCAGAGGCAGTCAGTGCCCTCACTGCCCAGCCTGTCAGCACATCATTATCACACCAATCCCCTGGGTCAGGTCTGCCAGAGCAAGGGGCTGCAAGAGAGCTGCTCTCTCACTGTGGGACTTTGGACTGATTGTCTGCTGAAAAATAGAGTTTAGCAAAGCTGTCTTCTCACAGTAAAGACCAAAAGGCTGAAGTTGTTCCTGTTTCAGTGGTGAAATGGTTTCTGTGGTCTGGACAGGACGAAAATCGCCCTTAGCACCAACATTATAAAAGGAAGCAAGAGCTAAAGCATTCAGATAATTGGTTTACAGGAGCTGAAAGACCCTGGCAGTGTGGAATAGAGGGTGATTTACTATAGACAGGCACAGTTCCACACTTCTGCAAGGGTAGATTATTCCAGCTTCATTCCACAGCATTGCCCTGAGTGCCAGCTTGGGTGTCCCAGTCTGACACCGCTACCACTGGGAAGGGGAGAGATCCTCACGATTCCAAAATGCATTTCAGACTGGTCCAAGAGACTGGAAAGATGGATCTGCACACATAATCACAACATCACTTCGAAATCTGCCACTTCTGATAGTATGGATGAAAAAAATCCAGTTAGTTGAAGGGGAGACTGGACAGGTTCTTAGGAGACAATAAATCTGCTGAGGTTTAGATTAAATTTGTGGAAGCCACATCTGGCTCAGAAAATACTCAGGGAGGTTGGAACAGATTGAGAGCAGGAGGGAACCTGAGGGAAGTTCCTACACTCTTCCCCAGACATTTTCTTTCAGGCAGTGGTGGGGGGAGAAGACCAGGCTGACCCTCTGCCTGATCCAGCATGGCAGCTTCTGCTGCATTCCCAGGACAAGACCTTCAATGCTGACAGAATTTCTTTTTCTTTGGCCTTCTGACAAAACCAGAGTCTTACTCCAAGCACTTCCACAAACTCAGTCTGACCTGAGGGAAGTCCACTGCATTTGACTGCCAGCCTCACATTATCTACTGCCAGACAGAATAAAAAGGGATGTGACGTTTTATTCGCATTGACAATGTTAAAACTAGAAATAATGGATGATATTGCATCCAGCTCTGGGCTCCAAAGCACAAGGACTTGGAGTGAGTCCAGAGGAGGCCACAGAGATGCTCCCAGGGCTGGAGCCCCTCTGCTCTGGAGCCAGGCTGGGACAGCTGGGGGG